AGATGGACATAAATGTGTTTTGATGCAGTCTAAGAGGGTGGTAGCTTATGATTCACAGCAGTTGAAGAGCCACAAGCAAAACTACCCCATGCATGATATGGAGTTGGCGATGGTTATCTTTGCCTTAAAGGTATGGTGCCACTATTTATACGAAAAGTAGTTTAAGGTATTTTCGAACCATAAGAGTTTGAAGTACATGTTCACATAACCGAACCTCAACATCAGGCAGTGCAATGGAGTACATAGAGATACGACTTCACTTTGCATTTCTGTCCTGGTAAGACAAATGTGGTGGTTGATGCACTCAATCGAAAGTTACAAGGAGTCTTGGTTAGTATAGCTTCTCGGGAGTGTTAGATGCTCGAGACTATAGGATAGTTCGGGCTAAACTATAGAGATCAGGCTTAGGATATTTTGGGAAGTCTGGTGGGTACGCCTTCCCCATTGAGCAGGGTGATCGAGTCCCATGGGCAAGACAAGGAGATATTTTCCATTGAGGACTAGGTACAGTTGGGTATTGGTGTCGAGGACTGGGCCATTTACACTAATGGTAGTCTTCAATTCAGGAGAAGGGTTATAGTTTCCCAGTCTATGGATCAGAAAGAGATCCTCAAGGAGTTTTATTACTCCCATTTGTTGTGCATCCAACTGGTATGAAGATGTATTATGATCTTCACTGCCAGTACTATTGGAATGGGACGAAGAGACACGATGGAGACTTTATTAGTAACTATTTCACATGTCAACAGATCGATGCTTAGCACCAAAGACCATGTTCTTCTCGTGGGCATGAAATGGTGTGTGTGATTGTGGACTGGTTTACAAAGTCAGCACATTTTTTGGTTGTGTGGATGACCTTCACAGTAGAGGAATTCTATAGGTTATATATACGAGAAATAGTTTGACTGCATGGGGTACCCGTATCTATAGTATTAGATTGGGATCCTAGGTTCACAACTCACTTCTATGAGAGCTTTCAGCGGGCTATGGAGACATAGTTAATGATGAGCACAACTTTCCATCTTCAGACAAACAGTCAATCGGAGAGGACAATCCAGATTTTAGAGTACATACTTTGGGCAAGGGTCCTTGATCTCAAGGATAGCTGAGAGGAGCACTAACCCTTAGTAGAATTTACTTTCAATAATAGTTATCAGATGAGCATATAAATGAAACTCTACGAGGCACTTTATGGAAAGTCATGTTGTTCTTTGGTATGTTGGTTAGAGGTTGGAAAAGGACCTTTCACGAGTCTAGATTTGATTAGAGACACATCAGAGAAGGTGGATTTGACAAGGAAGCGCCTTCTTACAACATAGAGCCAGTAGAAAAGCTACGCCGATAGACGGCGGAGACCTCTGGAGTTCGAGGTTGGAAATCATGTAATCTTGAAGGTTATACCCTAGAGTAGAGTTTTCATGTTTGAAAAGCAAAGGAAACTATCACCGAGGTATATTAGGTCATTTGAGGTACTCAAGAGGGTTGGTACAGTCATATACCGATTGGCATTACCGTCAAATCTATCTAGTGTTCACATGGTGTTCCATGTCTCCATGCTCCTGAACCACACTTCAAAACCTACACATGTGGTGGATTGGGGTGAGCTAGTTGTTATTGCGGATGAGACCTTCAAGGAGGGACCGATACGTATCATGGATAGTTGAGAGTAGGTTTTGTGAGATAAGGCTGTGAGGCTGGTGAATGTGTTATGGCAGCATCATGGTATGAAGGAGGTGACATGGGAGTTTGAGGATACTATCCATGCTACTTATCGATTCTTGTTGCAAGTACATTCATGTAGTTATAGAGAATTTTATTAATTGTTACATATGCATGTTATTATATGTGCATGTGTGTGTAATTTTGGGGACAAAATTTCTTTAAGGAGTAAGAATGTAAAACCCAAGAAAAATTAAAGTTTTATGAAAAAAGGACAAAAAGGTAATTAACCATTATTGTAAGGGTTCAAAACCCACATTTTTTTAAAACTCGGATGGTAAAATGGACCTTATTGTTGGATTCATCTTGCAAAATCTAGTTACGAAATTAATTTTTGTCTAATTCCAAGATAGTTAGATTTCTTACATTTTACAAGGCAATCGGGTATCACGCGATCAAAATAAATGAGATTAGGATTTAATTACAAAATTTGAGAAATAATTTAAAGATAGTTCAATAAAAATGTAGTAAACTTATCCCGCGATGAGATTTAGTTGATCCAAGACAAAAATGGATCAGAAAGATGGGACGTGTGGCTTAATGAGAGCCAAGCATTTGAGGGTGTAAAAAGGAGAGAAAAAGTTGTTCTACCAGCATTCTGCCAGAAAAGGAAGAGAGAGAGCGAGAGAGATAAGAGATAGAAAACTAAGGTTCTCCCACCTTCTCCCTTCAATCTTCGACGATCCAACTGTCGGATATCCTCGGGACAAGAGATAAAGATGTTTTATGCGACGAGAGGTACACGTACATACTAAATATCATGGGTTTCACCACAATCTCGAAGACAAGATTTTTTCGATCAAAGCTTAGAAGTTTGATTTGGGTCTTTTGGAGTTTCTTCTATGCAAATATATGCTTCAAGAGGTAGGGTTCCTTTCCTAATTAGGTTTATTTCCAACCTATGATTGAAATATGAAATGAGTAGTGTGTTAGAGATGAAATCTCATGTACAACACATACCTACGGTTAGAAGAATATGGAAATGGGTATAAGAATATTTAAACCAATTCTTGTATGATTTGGTATGATGAAATTACTTGGCTTTGAATTTCATGAGGAAAGTTATGTTTTGAGCATGTTGTGTTTACGTAACCTTTGTGCCTTGAATGTGTTTGATAAAATTCTCATGGTTTGTTAAGTGTGTTATGTGTATTGAATATGCGATAACACATTTGGTGGTGTTTTGGATTGTAATTATATGCTTTATGATATAGTTGACATTTGAGGAATTGGAGAATGTCGGTAGACATTGAATTTGTTCATAATATGCACATGACATGATGAACATGATATTGTAGTTACAACTCTACATTACATTGTTATATGCACGGGTAGCATCGCATTCGTGGGCCTTCAACATGAATGGGTGTGTGTGTGCATGGTTTAGATCAAATACCATCATTTGTGGGTTGATATATGGGCTCGAAAAGGTTGGACCCAAGTTCAACTGAGTCGCATGGGTTGCATTAAAAATGTGTCGTGGTTAGCAAGAAGGGCCAGATTCTTCCTCGGGTGCCAGAATCGGTGACTTTGGATATGTACTTTCGTTGGTATTGAGTTCATAAATGTGTTTGCGTACACTAAGCCGTTGGTATAATTTCATAGATGTTATATCAGTGGGGTACCCGTTGGTGCAAGTCCATAAATACCCACCCAAGAAAGACACAAGGATTTTATAAAATGGTCATTGGATGTTTAACATCAATGACAGAGGCTTGTAATGCCCAAATGCATATGCATGACATGACATGTGTTGTGGAAGCCAATGGAGGGCTCGAGTTTGCATTGCATGTGTGAGTTCATCTTAAGGCATGGCATGGATTGGTAGCATTCACTTGAAAAATAAATTTATTTGAATGGATGCTTGAATTGTTGAATTGCATGTGACATTTCATATGCATCTTGGTTGGGGAGTAGCCTCCGTAGGAGATACCTTATTGAGCGTGACTCACCTTTTATGAGAACATATTTCAGTTGTTGAACAACCGCCGAAAGATGGCCCTCACTTGGGCCCTAGTGGATGGCGGAGTCAGATTATGGCTAAATTACATCCTTGTAACAGATTATGTAATTTCTTACAAACATGTAATTTTGGTAAAAGAGCATGTAGTGAACTCTTTTGGGACAATTATTTTGATGTAAATGAATGTTGTATGAGTTTGGATAAATATGGAATGAGATTGGATGGTTAAAGGTTAAGAATTGGATGAAATTGGAAAAAATCTGGGCTCAGGTACAAGCACCTAGGTTCATAGGTATCGGTACCACGCAGTCGAATAACCTAGGTACTGGTACCTAGGCTTATAGGTACTAGTACCTTGATTATATTAGGCTCAAGAATCGATACCTCGGCCTCAAGTACCGGTACCCCAATAGATAGTTGACTCTAGTACCAGTACCAGTACACATAACTACAGGTACCTAGAAAACATTGGGCCCCGACACCGGTACCAAGTTATATGGGTATCAGTATTGGGCAAACAAAAGGCCTAATTACCGGTACCAGGCAAACAAAAGGCCTAGGTACCAATACCACTTATATGAGGTACCCGTGCGTCCTCCCAAAATTTGAAATTTTAAAATATAACAATGAAAGACATTCACTTTTTAAATGACTGGTTGAGAAATAACCCTAGACAATTTATAATTTTTGGAGTCAACATTAAGCTTAGATTAAAAAACACTCTCAACAAATTTTTTGGCATGCCTACTCAACTTTTGCTCAAATGCCTTAATGGAACCCAATAAATCTTGAACACCCAAAAAATAAATATCTTTGGTTTCTTAAAGGCTGATACCAGACAATCAAGAGTACCTTTTCATACTTCATATTCATTGTTGATGATTTTTCAAGAATGACTTGAGTTATTTTATGAGACAAAAATCTGAAGTTTATCAAGTATTCAAGAAGTTTTAAAAGTTTGTTGAAAGGCAAAGTAGATACTACATTAATGTGATGAGAAGTGATGGAGGTGGTAAGTACAATTCTAATGAATTTAACAATTTTTGGGAAGATATTCGTATGAAAAAATATTCCTAAAGACTAGTTGGCATTGTCTTTGTTTTCTCTATCAGAAAGATACGAAGGCTAAAATTATAGCCAAATAATTGGTATCAGGGCTAGTTCAACACTACCTAGCTGGGTATGAAGCTTATCATTGGATAAACAAAGTTCTAGGTTAAGAAGATCAAAATGGTAAGTGGAATCAGCATATCGACTAGTGCACAACCACCTTTTTTCTTCTTTGATGGTAAAAATTATCATTATTGCTATATTAAAGGAGCCTCATATTCATGGTTCTGTAGAAAAGGGGGAAGGTTCGGAGAAGAGTCGTCAAATTCTAAATGGGGATCTGAATGGAACTGAAGAGGTTGAATGTGAAAGGGGGGTTGTTGCTAATAATAGGGAGGGATTAGTGTTAGGTCTAGAAGGTGTGGTGCTCTTAAAGGGTCAGGAGCCTCTTCGTATTCTGGAAAGGTAGATAGTTGACCTTAATTCAGATAGGGTGTTGGAGTGTGAAAGTCCTCTTTGGGAGCAGAACTGGAGAATATGGAAAATTGAATTCCTAAAGATCAATGAGGAATAGCTTGTAATGGAAATAAGGGAGAATGCAGGCAAGGGAGTGTGTGTTGGGCACTCTGGTGATGTTGCTATTGAGACTGAGCAGACGGAGAAGTTTGTGTATGAAGATGTTCTGGCAAGAATAGGTGTGACTCCTTTGAATAAAGTATGGGAGGTTCTTGCAAATCTGGACTGTTGTCTGGTGAATAGGCAGTTTTCTCCTTCATGTAAGGATTCTTTTTACGTGGACCACCAGTATTCTCCATGGAACGGCATGAATGTTTCAATGGATGACGATGTAGGTTTGGTAAGGAGAACTGATCCCCTAGATAAGGGTTACTTGTCTGATAAAGGGAGTTTTGTGTTTGAAAGCAGAACTAAGTCATTCTTGGAGGAATTGGGGGAGGAGGAGGATCTGGATTCCAGTGCTCTAAATGAGGTTTCTAGTGAAGCTTCTTTTAGACTAAGGTCCAAAGGTATTCTTTCTTCTTCCCTTAATGATTAATTTTTGTCTTGGAATATAAGGGGAGCTGGAAAAGATGTGTAGAGAAGTAGGCCAAAAAGATGGTAAGAATGAATGATGTCTATATGGTGTCCATTCAAGAGCCAAAAATGGGAATGAAAAAAGTTGCGTGGTTATGTAATGTCAATAGGTTTACCTCATTATGCTTTTAATCCTTTAGCTGAAAGAAATTTGTGGGTACTATAAGATGATAGAGTGTAGGTTCGTACAGTGGCTTAGCATGAACATGCCTTAACTGCTGAAGTTTCTTCTTTTGGGTCAGATGTGGTATATATCACAATCGTTTATGCCTGCTGAGGAGACCCTTATGGGAACATCTTTTGGGTTTCCTGTGATTGCCTCTTCTACCTAGATGGTGGGAAGTGATTTTAATGTTATTCTATCCTTAGATTGGCTATGGAGGAATTTTGGGATTTGCGCATGATGCTAGTTTGCAGGATGTAGGATTTATTGGGAGTAGGTTTACCTGGTGTAATAACCATGGAAAGACTAGGATGTGGCAAAGGATTGATCATTTGTTGCTTACACCTAGATAGTGTATGAAGTTTTGGAGTGTGGAGATGTTGCATTTGGCTAGGGGGAGTTCTGGTCACTACCCTATTCTCCTTAAATTTTAGGATATTGTGTAATCCATGATATCCTATTTTAAATTTCAGGTTATGTGGGTAGAGGATCCAGGTTTTTTGCCTATGGTTTCTTCTAAATAGGGTGGATGTTATGCTAAAAACCCAATTGAAGATGTCTTTTTAAATTTGGAATATCTGAAGATTCGTCTCAAGAGGTGGAATAAAGAAATCTTGGTAATATTTTTGAGAGGATTAGGAGGAGGGGGGACGATGCCCTAAAGGTAGAATTGCTGCTTGAACATGATAATTCTGAAAGTAATGCTCTTGTTCTGAAGGGAGTGCAGAAGGAGTTAGATGAGGTATTAAGGTTCGAGGAGATTTATTGGAGACAAAATGCTAATATAATATGGGCAGTGGAAGGAGTGAAAAATACCAGGTTTTATCATGCTTTAGCAAAAGAAAAGGTAGTAAGGAACAGGGTGTCTAAGATTCATGATGATTCTAGTTTATGGGTCCATTCTGATATGGAAATTGCAGAGGTGGCTGTGAGCTTTTATTCCAACTTGTACAAATCTGAGCAGCATACCTTGCATGATAGTTTGTTTTCAGTGATTCCTTTACTGATTGATAAAGAGATGATTAAGGGATTGATTGTAAAGGCTTATGAGTAGGAGGTGAAGAGTGTTGTATTTTCTATGTCCACTCACAGTGCTCCTGGGGTGGATGGTCTCTTTGGGAAAAAAATTCAGGTGGTCTGGGAAGTTATTAAGCTGGATGTGTTAAGGGCTGTTAATTTTTTTTTTTGAAAGGAGGCAAAGTGCCTAGGTCAGTGAATGCTACACTGATTGTGTTAATCCCTAAGAAGCCTAATCTTGTGTCTTTTTCACATTTTCGACCAATAAGCCTGTGTAATTTTATGTACAAAGTCTTTACTAAGCTATTGACTGTTAGGCTTGCTTTGGTGTTGCCTGTGGTGATTTCTACAGAACAACATGCCCTTCTTAAGGGCTAAAATGGGGGTGAGTGTATAGCTCTAGCCCAGGTAATGGTGGAGAATTTGGACATGAAAGTGGAGGCAGGGAATATGATAACCTATGACATGTTTGAGTGGGATTTCTTGTTGAAAACCCTCTCTTGTTTTGGCTTTTCTAATATGTTTGTGAGTATTATAGCAAATTGTTTGGAAAGCCAGTATGTTTCAGTATGTGTGAATGGACAAAGGGTGGGTTGTTTTCCTACCTCTAGGGGTTTGAGGCAAGGAGATCCAATCTCTCCTTCTTTGTTTATCCTTGTAGAAGAGGTGCTCAGTAGGGGGATGGAGAAAATTTATTTGGATGGCTTGGTTAAGGGGTATCATTTGGGGAGGGGAACAACTTTGCTGTCTCATTTGCTTTTTGCGGATGACACCTTAGTGTTCCTGAGTGGGAAGAAGAGGTCTTTAGTAAACTTAATGAATTTTTTGGGTTCCTATGAGCATTGTCTAATGTCTAATGTCTATGAGCATTATCTAATCTTTACTAACAGGAGGCAGGAATTGTCTAATGTTGCTGGTATTCTAGTTAAACAGTGTCCATTCCCTTATCTTTATTGCCCCATCATCTAAGGGAGTACCAAACTTAGAAACATTGAGGGTGTTTGATGTAAGTTCAGGAGTAAGATGGAAGGGTGGTATGCTAGAATGCTCTCAAACATGGGGAGGGTCCTGATGGTGCAGTATGTTTTGAGTGTTGTGCCTATACATTTATTGGCTTGCTTGAATCTGCCTATAGGCATTTTGCATAAATTGAATTTTGCAATGGCAGGTTTTATTTGGTCTAATAGAATAGAGGTGAGAAGGAGGCATTGGGTGGCATGGGAAAGAATTACCTTGCCTAAATTTGAGGGAGGTTTGAGATTGAGGAAGTTTGAAGAGTTACAAGTGGCTTTTAAATTGAAGTAGGTATAGAGTTTAATGCAGGGGTCTTCATTGTGGGCCCAGGTGTTTTCTGCTAAACTTCTGAAAGGCAAGCATCTTTAGAGGTGTGTGAATGAGGGTAACTCTAAATGTTTTAAAGCCTTAAGGTTGTTTTTCGAGAGGGTTGTCATGCAGTCTAGAATGTTGATTGGGAGAGGGGATAAGATTGATTTTTGTTGTGACCAATGGGTGGGTGATGTACCTTTGATATGTAGAATGGAGGTTATGCCTCATTCCTTTCCAAAAGTATGTGAGTTGGTAAGGGATTCTCAATGGCAGCTGGATCAGGTGGATGACTTGTTAATTGAGCAAATGAAGGCATATATTTTGGGGTGTTAGGTGTCTTTTTCTGATATTGCTAATAAGCTTTTTTGGCAGCATTCTAAGTGTGGGGGTTTTTCCCTAAAGGTTGCATGGAATTTAGTAAGGAGTCATGGGGTGCGAAATGTGACTGCTAAAGTCATTTGGAATATGCCTACAAAACCTAGTGCTCATTTTGTGGGTTTGAAGCTGCTAAAGGAGGCTCTTCCTTTGGATTCCAGAATCAGGATGTGTGGAATTCCTTTGGTAAGTAGGTGTATTTTGTGTTATAAGGAGGATGAGGATGTTGTTCATGTTTGTGTGGAATATGAATATGTTAAGGCCATTTGGCAAAAATTTATTGCAATGTGTGGTTTTCAGTTGATTGGTGGTGAGTTACCTCTGTTCAGATTGCAAAGGCTTTGAAGGGTTTTTAAAAAGAAAGTTTGTTTGTTGTAGTTTGATAAGGAGTCTTGCCTTGTTGGTGTTTTGGCAAGTATGGAAGGAAAGATGTAGGAGGAGGGCTAGTGAAGGCAAGATTAATTCTTATTCTATTTTTCTGATGTAGTCTTTTACACTTTCAGGTGAGGAATAATAAGGCCAAGGTTTTGAATAATAATAGTGGTAGAATGGTGTTGCAATTGTTAGGCATTGTCATCCATATGTGGTATCCACTAGGGCCATATGCGTGTGTTGAACTTATCCAAGTGTTGGGGTTTTGAAACTCAATGTTGATGGAGCTGCTAAGGGTAACACTGGCATTTCTAGAGGAGGGGCAGTATTGAGGAATGAGTGGGGAGGTTTGCTCTCAGCATCTTCTTTTTATTATGTTATAAATTCTACTATGGGTGTTGAGTTCAGGGCATTACTGGATAAGCTTGGTCTGGTTGTCAGGCATGGATTGCAAGTGTACAAAATCTTGATTGAATCTGACTCGCTAGTCCTGGTGAATTCTATTCAAGGTATGGTGGATTGTAATTGGCCTTTGTTGGGTGTTTTAGCTCAAATGAAGCTTCTTTTGAACAGAATGTAGTTTTCGTTGGAACATGTGTATAGAGAGGCGAATTTTGTTGTTGATGCCTTGGCAAACAAAGCAGTTCAAGATGGATACTCTTTTGAGTTTTCTGGGTTTGATCAGTTGCTGTGAGCCTAAGATTGGTTCAGGATCAGAGATGCTTGCCTGTTTTGCGAACCAAGAATGTTTTTTTTTTTTATGATCATGGTTGAAAAAGGAGTATGGGTTACTGGAATGAGGAGACAGACCTGGAGTTTGCTGTTACGAGCTGTGACGAATTGGCAGTTGCTTTGTTGGTTGCTAGGTTTTCTTCCAAGTATTAGCAGAAGCATTTTGCCTCCTTTGTGGATCAGATTGTTGGGGAGGAGGTCTGATGCCCTGGCAGGAATGAAGATGTTTTTAGGACATTTTCAAGGATTAAAGTCATTCAGTGTACAAATGAGACTGTTAGTGTATGATTCTTGTAATTATTTGCTTCTTGTAATTTTTTACTTCAATCTACAAAATTTGATCTTCTTTTATAAAAAAAATTAAAGGAAACCAAGAAGAATGATGCAAATGC